TGATTCGCTTCAAACTTTTTTAAACTAAATTGCAATAAAACAGAACTTCTTTTAATTGGCACTAAATCAATACTAAATAAACTTCATAGCTTTTCCATTCCGGTTGATAACTCTTCCATCTCTCCCTCCTATCAGGTTAAGAGTCTGGGTGTCATCCTTGATAGCACCCTCTCCTTTTCCTCTCATGTCAATAATATCACTCGGTCAGCCTACTTTCATCTTCGAAATATTAATCGTCTCTGTCCTTCCCTCACTCCTCACTCCACTGCTGTTCTGGTTCACAGTCTGGTCACCTCTCGTTTAGATTATTGTAATTCTCTTCTTTTTGGCCTACCTCAGAAAACCCTCCATAAATTACAACTGGTACAAAATTCAGCTGCCCGTATTATTACACAGACCCCATCAATTCATCACATCACACCTGTTTTACAACAACTTCATTGGCTTCCCATCCCATTTTGCATCAACTACAAAATACTCCTTACCTTCAAAGCTGTCCACCACCTCGCTCCTCCATACCTTTCGGACCTTGTTCATATCGCTACACCCACTCGTACCCTCAGATCCTCTTCTTCTATTCAGCTCATTGTTCCTCTTGCCCGTCTTGTTACTATGGGGAGCAGAGCATTCAGCTGCTTTGCTCCCCAGCTCTGGAACTCACTTCCACCCGATATTCTTAATACAGACTCACAGCCACATTTCAAAGTCAAACTCAAAACTCTTCTGTTTAAAGAAGCCTACACTCTGTGATTGCAACTGCATTGTCTTATTTTAATTCTATTTTACTTGTTTTTACTGTGTGTATAATATTGTGTCTGTTTTTATGATTGACAATGTAAGGTGACCTTGAGTGCCAAGAAAGGCGCCTACAAATAAAATGTATTATTATTATTATTATTATTATTATTATTATTATTATTATTATTATTATTATTACTATTAATGAGGATTAAGAGGTTTAAAAATCATTAATACTGTTTTACAGTTGATTTAAATGAGTGGTTTACTTCAACATTAGAAATGGTATGAACTAAACACACTTTTGATTATCAAGATATTGTAAAATAGTATTGATAATATAAAAAAAAGGAGAGTGTTCTTTCAATTGATTAATTCAGGATACAATTAAATAATCTCTTGATGAGATCAATTGTATTTCTGGATTCAAATCAATGAAATAGCAGTTCCTGTCCCCTGAAGGTCTTCAGAGACAGATTGATGTAGGAGGTCTAGTTCACTACAAAGCGCTTTGAGTATCTTGAAATTAGGGATGGGGCTGATCCGATCCAGTATCGGTATCGGCCTCCGATACCAGCATAATGTACGTATCTGATTTTTCCGATCCAACCTGCAGTGATTTCCAATCCATGATGCATGTCTGTGGTTGCGCTGCACGTTGGCTTCAAACTATGGAATGGATTTCCTGAACGGAGGCGTGTCTCATGAACCCAGAGTAATAAGACCCGCCTCACATTCAGGAAATCCATTTCATAGTTTGCAGCCAGCTACAACATGAGGACTGAGCGAGTAGCACTGTGGCTAACAGCTAACCAATTTTTCATCAAAACGTGTCCGCTATGTGGAAGTATTTTACACTGGAAACACCACAAAACAAGATGGCAACGTGCATTGTCTGCAGAGCCATAGCACCACATTAAACCGCGGTAAAGTTAGTTTTACATTGGACATTCAAGCTCCGTGGCTTCAGCGGGGCGCTACTCTTTGCTCAAACAGAAAAAGGCAACTCGACCCCAGACAGCCGCGTCCAATCTGCCCCACTCAATCTTCCTCGCTCAATCTGCCCGTCTCTGAGGAGGGACAGACTGAGCGCGGCTGACCGAAATCAGGCTGCTTGCTTCGGATTGAACAAGAAGAAGACATCACTGAAGCACCGGAGCTCGAATGTTTACCGAGAAGCTGCCAAATGTCATCAAAATTAATGACCAACCACTATCAGTTGTAGAAAACGAAGGATTTTGTAGCTTGATACTTGCAGCAAAGATATAGTTTAACCTCCAGGAGATATTTATCAGTACAACAGTAGACAATCATAAAGAAAACATATGATTTGAAAATTATATATATTAAAAAAAAGAAACAAAAACAGCTACATTATAAAGTGATGTAAAATACTAAAAATAGGAACATGTCTGTTGGTTTATGCCACGAACTTAGCAGGTGTTTGAAGCCATTTAACATTTTATTTTATTCATGTATTCATTCATTTAAAAGAAACAAAATAAATAAATAAAAAATCATCAAAAAGAAAACATTGAATGAAAAGAGTGCAGAAAGAAGAAAAAAATTCTTATATCTTCCTCATTTAAAAAATATAAAATAACTAAACAATCACTTAAATTAATCACTTTAATATCCACTTTAAAGCTAGGAATAAAAAAAACATGTTTGTGTTAGCAGAATTTAATTCCAACTTTAAAACTTATCCAACATTAATAAAACCTCAAGTTGTCTTTTTGGACATGCATGCATATATTTGTACAAATTGTACTTGAGAGGAGATTATTACAGCCTCATATAAAATCAACAATGATTATGATATCGTAACTGGATCGGTATCGGGCGATATTTACATTTAGGTATCGGATCGGAAGTTAAAAAAAGTGGATTGTGCATCCCTACTTGAAATTAGATAGTAAGGCTATATAAGTACAGTCCATTTACCATAAGCAGGAGACAAGGTTTCAAGTTAGGGATAATTTATTAAAAACAAAATAAAAGTAAAGAAATACCTGTATGTGTACAGTTGGTGTGACTTACCCAGGTCCTGGATGGAAGGCTACCAAACACTTGTGAACTCACACACTCGTTGAATCCCTCCACCTATCTGTGCTGAATGCTGCAGTCACACAAAGGAGGAGACGCCACCATCCAGGCCACACACACTTCCCTCGCCAACCTGTAGAGCAAGAATAAAATAAATGAAAATGATAGTAATTTAAAAAAAAGGAAATAACTACACAAGTTACTAATAAAATACAGGTAAGAGAATACAATAAAACAATAATAAAAAGAGTCCGAACACAGCCAGCAGCACACGAGCCGGTGCTGCGCAAAAGCCTCTGCTCCCTCTTCTCTCTCTTGGAGCGTGGGTATGTCAAATGCCGCTTCCAATCAACTGCAGGACGAGTGGCGTCTCTCAGGTAATTTCAAAACTCGGCAAAGCAGCATTGGTGATTGTGGAAATAAATCTACAAGCCACAGTAAAAATAGTTTAAGTAAATTGATTAAAATAAGGCTCATGACTAATTCCAACTACCTATCAGGCCAAGCTCTCTCCTCGCTCCCGCACAAACAGGAATACTCAGAAACACACTGGCAACAGGAACTAGGGCATTAACAGAGTACTCAAGTAATCTACACATCGATTGCTAGGACATCTATCTATGTTAAAAATGTAAAGTCGGGTATCCGTAGTGACGTCATATTATGTGACCACGTATGACCGTAGGGGGCGGTGTTGCACTGTTGCAGGTCACAGAGTATGGTGTATCACCGGGTCCTATCCACCGAACCAGAACCAGTTTTGGTTTAAGTTTCGTTTTTGACGTGCTACGTTTCTTCACGTTTGCAGTTTAATAATAATAACTAATGGTTTAGTTTTTCCTCTAACTTATTTGCAGTATGATAAATGATAGGAGCATAATATACGCTCCCAATGTTTTGTTGGTCTTTTTTTTGTGTAAATAATTACCGTTTTTTGCGGGTTTATTTATTAATTTATTTTTGTATCTTGAGATCTATGACATACTCGAGTTCTACTCGGGTTTTATTATGTTAATGTCGAGTTTAAAAATTATATACTCGTTCAACCCCTAGCAGGAACCACTTCACCCACCATCAAACGTGGTTGTGAATGCGCCGACACTTATCTGCTGGTTTAAAAGTATATAAACTACATACTCTAAGCTGTTGTAAGTGCGCAGGAAGCCAACTTCACCTGTACTTTGCACACAGCAAATGTAACACAGAAGCGCAGTGTGACGCGTCCGTAAACAAGCATCTTGGAATCGCCAAGTGACGCATCAGTCATCCAAACCCAGTACGCAGCCTACCTGTGCTTTTATAGTGGTGCCCCCTAGTGTTATTGGCTGATCAAGCAATTATCCTGGCAGCAGGTGGAGTCTCCACCTGCTTCCTGCCACAGGATGGATGGATATCTTAACTGAGTTCCAGGATGTAAATGGTAAATAGACTGTACTTGTATAGCGCCTTTCTATCTGATCAAGAAACTCAAAGTGCTTTACATTACAATCTGTGCCTCATTTACCCATTCATACAGCACTCTACTAGATCGCTACAAAGCTAATTGAACAAATCATTCTAAAGAGACTAATCAGTGCTTTAGTTCACATTCATACACCGATGGGACACACGTCAGAGGCAATGAGGGGTTCAGTGTCTTGCCCATGGACACTTCGGCATGTGACTGCTGGTGGATTCGAACCCCCAACTCTTGCATTGGAGGACGACTGCTCTAACCACTCAGCCACAGCCGCCCAGGATCACTGGTCTCCTCTTCCTTCATCATTTAAATTCAACCAGTTTAAAAGCCACATCTTCATATAACAAAAGACCTACTTTTATAATTTGTATTAACAAATATAAAATTATATGCTGTGTCCACTGTCGATATGTTAATTTTGTCCTTTGTCTTTCATCAGACCCTGTGTTTTTGTTTGACCACAGCTTCTTGTTTACTGACAGTGTTTACTCCACTCAGTCAGTGTTTAGTCACATAAAGCGAGTTAACAAGTGGACTACTTTAACCATTTCCAATGGAACCCCCGTTACCCAGAACGCAATGTGCTGAAACATTATGTCCCAGCTAGTTCTACTTTACTTAGGTTTATTAATTACTGTGCTGTCTGTCCCTTTACTGCTGCCGGAACATTGGCCGGGTGCAGGGACAAACAAACAGCTGGTTGATTATTTACAGTTGTGATGTGAGTTTGTGATGTGAGTTTCTTTATGTGACACAGGTGAGAGCAGCCATGAGGATGACTGTTCTGAAGAAGGAAGCATGGATGACATGTCGGATGGAGGAGGAACAAACAACTGTGGTGAAGATGAGAAGGAAATGGCTGAAGAGGTGGAGGAGGAGAATGCAGACACCATGGCTGGCTGGGCCGAGGCCATGGCAAAGATTCTGGGGAAGAAAACTCCAAAGAGCAGCAGCATCTTGGTTAAAAACAAAGAAGTGAACAAGATGAAGGCAACGGAGAAGCTAAAGAAGCTGGAGAAAAAGGAACTGGTACTGCTCAGAAATACTTTCAGATCTCTTCAGTTACTTTAAAGAATTGTTCACTTTGAAATCTGCTTTAGTATATTGTAAATCACTGCAGTTACTGTAATTGTTGCAGTTACTAATAGGGGTGCAGAAATTTTTTCTTTTTTGGATGAATCTAGATTCTTAGTCCTGGTGATTCTGAATCATTTCTAAAAGTCCAAAAATCAATTTTAAAATGCATTTAAGTTTTGTATTTTTTCCGCTCCTACTCCCCGTTTGGCTGCCGTAGAATTGAGCCGTGTAGGCCACCATACAGCAAGCTAGTTAGCCAGCTCCCTTTATCTGAATGGAGCCTGCTAGCATGGAGGAGGGAGACGGCGCGATTCAACCCGCTGCTTCGTCTTTAAAAATCATTTCAGATCCTACAATGCTCCGGGGGAAGACAGAGTTTAACAAGAGCACAGTTGTTTACAAGAAGTGTAAAATAAAATTGCGGTCCAGTATTTTGGAAATACGACAAAATTCACGGTAGATTAAAGCGAAGCAGCCGACCAGCGAACTCTGCAACAAACTTCCAGGCTTCTCTCAAAGGCTGTGAAGATTTCCCTCTCCATTTCCTGCTATATCACAAAGGATTTACGAGCAGATAGCTCAGTGGAAGGTGAGGGGTTCAGGTTTATTTTTAATACGATGGATTCAACGTACGTTACTCCTTCATGTAGATTTTTTTTTTTTTTTTTGTGATAAAGCAGCACCACAACTTAACCATGAAACAACAAATGGGAGAAGCTAAGATGCAGCTGCAGCTCAAAGGTAACTGTTATTTCTCGTATTATACTATAACTTATAGCCAAGTTGTACAACAAACTTTATGTAATTTGTATTTTTAACAGGTTGAAGAGGACAGATGAGACATATCACCTGGAGCCAGTTCTAAATGATACAGTTTATGGTTTATAAATTATATCCTGATGCATGCTCAATAATCCGACGATAGAGACGAAACGTTTCTACATTTTTTTGTTGTTTTGCTTTGTTTTGTTTTTTCTTGAATGTCCAGAGGACCAGATTTAACTTTTTTAGATTTATAAATTATAGTTCAGAAGATGTTTTTGTGCAGGTTTCCACAGGTTTTGAAATTTTGTTAAAGATTTACTAAATATGAATCAATATGGTTAAGACTGAAGTCTGTATATTTCATATTAGGTAAAGTTTTGAAAATATAACAAATGTTAGAGCAATATGGTTAAAAATAACTGAAGTCTGTATTTTATTTTGAGTTAAAGGTTAATGTACTATGGTAGGCTGAAGTGTGTTTACTTTTATATTTATATATTTTGAATTATTTGTCTGTGATGGACTGGAGACCTGTCCAGGTGTCCCCCGCCTCTCACACAGTGATAGCCGATATGGGCACCAGTGATCCCCGTGACTCAAAAATGAAGAAGTGGATAAAGATGATGGATGAATGAATTATTTGTTCCTAGATTTTTATTTATTTTATTTTTTTAGAAAAATTCAGGCAACTAAGCTAACCTAATACTTTAATTTAAGTTACAGAATTTTATGCACTTCTATATTTTTTCCTATTTTTGGTATAAATATAAAATAAATAAAAAATATTTGATACAGTAAGGAACCTAAAATGATTTTTAAATAAATGTTCGCTTTGTTTACATTGTTGTTTAATCTTTTCAGTTTGTCAGTTACATAAATGAAACAAAATTTATGACCATTTCAATAGAAAAATTGTTTCTGAATCAAAAATCGTTTCCAAATCAAAAAAATAAATTGATTTTAAATCGTATCGTGACACCAAAAATTGGAATCGAATCGGATCACCAGACACTGAGAGATTTGCACCCCTAGTTACTAATTTCACTTACTACTTTGTTCAGTTTAGCTTTAGTATCTGTTGTGCTTGTTTTAGCTACTGTTCTGCTGCTTTTAATGTCTGCTTATTTCAACCTGTTTCCATGGTTTGAGTGTGTTCAGCTTGTTTAACAGTTCATTCTTTAATTAATTTCAGCAAAGTCAGCATTGATATTTCTTACATTTTATTCTATTTTTAAATTTTAAACTTGACCAATTGTCTTGGGCGGCTGTGGCTGAGTGGTTAGAGCAGTCGTCCTCCAATG